TTCAAATTTTTTGACATAGATTATAAGAAATTTCACAAAAAATACATCTAGTAGAACATAAAGATGATAATTTGGTTTTGTGTACGAAAGACAATGAAATTTTAACAAAGTAAAGTATAAAATAAATAAAACTAATGATTAGACTTAAGTAGAAACTAGCTTCTTCTGCACCACCAACTTTATCTTTGCATGTATCTTGATTGTTTTAGATTACTCTAGAAATTGGTTATTATTAACCGACTTCTGGAGTAACATAGGAATTTCTTCGCAAACCATACATTAGGCTTGATTAAATATGAGCTCTTTGGGCTGCTGTTGATCCTCAACAGCCCTCCTCCTCCTCGCCTAGGGTTTCTACATCGCACTTTGCAAACATGGTACTCTCTCTGTCTATCGCTCTTTATCTGACATGCCCCGATCTTAATATTCTCCGAATACCAGGATAGACACGTCTAGCCGACACCCAAGGGTGATGAAAGCCACTTATTGAGTGCAAATGCTGAAAACAAGGGATAGATACTTATAACTATAAAATAATAATGAATATGCATTCAACTAACTAGAATACTAAAAGAAATAATATAAAAATTGAATGAACAAAGGAAAGAGGATAGGTCCTACACTGAGAGGACTCGAAGATACTGATGCAGAAGTGCCTTGATGTTGGGATTGTATGCCTTGATTCTAAGTCCTTAAGGGGGCGCAAAACAAACATGAGTGGACCCCTTCTAAAAATGCATGTTTTAATAGTAGAAATGCATACATGAAAAAGCATGATTTAATAATTATGTTCTATGAAACGTTTTGAGATAACATGCTTATTGAGGCTATTAAAAATTATTACCATTTTTCCTATAACCTGTGTTCTTATAGAATATATGATGGATGACGATATAATATTTAGAACATGTTTAGAACACCTCTTTATAGTATAGGTGATGGAGGACTTTATACTATGAAGTTGCTTTTCAATATATATGTATGTTCAATGGTTTTGTACTTACCTAGTGGTCCCAATTCCGCTACGAGACGAAGGGATAGATTCCGGTTCGTCCTGGGCGACAGTTATGGTGTTGGCATAGGGCCTGAAGTGTTTTTCCTCTGGATATTATCACAGGACGGGGAGCCGGCATGGGGCTTGGAGAGATATTGGACATTCACTAGTGATTACGATATATATGAGTTATGATTTGAGACATTGCACGACATTCTAGGTTTTGGAAAACCTATTTTTATCATGCTATATGTGTTTTCATAAAACCTAGGGGTTTGTATATTGATAACTGTTTTACTATATATTTATTCTATCAAATCCCAATCTTGACTCCGCCGTAACATAATATTGTCCGCTTTGGGCCCCATCACAGTTTTGTTTCTAGGAACTGACGCGAGAACTTCTCAGTGGGTCACCCATCCTAGGATTGCTCTCGCCCGAACTCACTTAACTTCGGAGTTTCGATGGAACCCGAAGCTAGTGAGTTCCCAAAAGACTTTGTGCTATAGGGAGGTGGGCATGTACATATAAGGCACATCACCCCCTCTCCGTTGGTTGATGTGGGATGTTACAATCCACCCCCCTTAAAGGCCCGAAGTCCTCGTCGGCACACTCGCACCGAACGGCAGAGTGGCTTTGATAGCATTTTGTCACATCACAGTCTCGACTCCGCCGTAGCATGATATTGTCCGCATTGAGCCCCGGTCACACCCTCACGGTTTTGAAGTCCTCGTCGACACACTCGCATTGAACGGCAGAGTGACTTTGATACCATTTTGTCACATCACAGTCTCGACTCCACCATAGCACGATATTGTCCGCATTGGGCCCCGGCCACACCCTCACGGTTTTGTTTCTGGGAACTCATGCAAGAACTTCCCAGTGGGGCACCCATCCTAGGATTGCTTTCACCCGAACTTGCTTAACTTCGAAATTCCGATGAAACCCGAAGCTAGTGAGTTCCCAAAAGGCCTCGTGCTATAGGAAGGTGGACATGTACATATAAGACACATCACCCCCATTCCGTTTGTTGATGTGGGATGTTATACTATCTCTATCGCTCTCCTCTACTTTCTCTCTCTAGAGATCTCTGTTGTGTGTATAACTGTTGGTTTTATGTTGAATTTGCTAGAGGACTGAAGGAGCATTTGAAGCGGCTCAATGCCCCAAAGCATTGGATGCTCGACAAGCTTGGTGGTGCTTTTGTAAGTAAAACCGTAAAACCCTCTTCCGCAAATTTTTAAAAAATGAAGAAATTTTCATTAAACCTGCAATCTTGTCCCTCATTGTTATTGGGATTTAATAATTTTTTTTTCATTAATCTCTTCAAAAAAAAAAATAATTTTTTTCATTAAATCTACAATTTTTGCCTTATTTTGATTGGGGTTTAACGGAACTTTGGTTTCACATGTGTGTGTTTAGGCCCCCAAGCCATCATCTGGGCCCCCACAAAGCCAAGGAGCGCCTTCCCCTAGCTCTTATTCTGAGGAGCAGGTTGAAATATGCACTCACATACCATGAAGTCGTTTTGATTCTCATGCAGCGCCATGTTTTGGTTGACGGAAAGGTCAGGATCGACAAGACTTACCCTTCTGGCTTTATGGGTATGTTCTCAACAATTTCACTAAATTTAGTTCCAATTCCTTATTTTTCTGAATGATTTTTTTGCAATGTATCTGTGATGCTTAGAAATCCTTAAAGCTATGTTATTTGTCTACAGACGTTGTTTTGATCCCGAAAACAAATGAGAATTTCCGTATGCTCTTTGACACCAAGGGTCGGTTTAGAATGTTGTACATCATTGCTTTCTAGTTTTGTGAATGTACTTTTGTTAGTACTTGTTTAGAATGTTGCCATTGTGCATCGTGTTTTTATACTGTAGTGTCATTTTGTTAATTAACAGATCTCACCTAACATGTTTGTCCGAAATGTTTAGTAGGTAACTTAGTTTTGGATATATTGCTGGTAAAATGACATATGTTACAGCTTACATCTTGTGTGCAGTAGAAAACATCTTATATTTTAGCAGGAAGAGAACTTCATATGGCCCTTTTTGTATTTTTGTTTGTCTATTCAGCTTTAATATTCATTTCTGGTAATATCATAATGCTACAAAGTGTATTAGTGTTTCGGTTAGCTTAAACTACGAATACGAGTTTTTTTACCTTTCATGTTAGTTTTATTTTTAGTTTTAAACGTTCCTTGTAATATAGGTTCTTTAGTTTTATGTTTATTCTGCTTTTGCGTGTTGACAGTGTTTGTGGCTAAGAGCCAAAGAGTACTTTCTGAAATATTTCTAGCTCAGTTTCGTCGTCTACTTTTGGCTAGATAATTAACTATTTGACTTTGTATTATAAATTCCCTGAGCAGTTCAAGCTCTGCAAGGTTCGATCAGTGCAGTTTGGGAAGAAGGCCATCCCCTATCTTAAAACTTTTGATGGACGCACTATTCACTACCCTGTCACATCCCGGCCCGAGGCGGATCACTTCACGGGCCCACTCCACCACCGTAGCACGATATTGTCTGCTTTGGGCTTACCATTCCCTCACGGTTTTGTTTTTGGGAAGTTGCTTTTGATGGACTCACTATTCGCTACCCTGTCACATCCCGGCCCAGGGTGGATCACTTCCCGGGCCCGCTCCACCACTGTAGCACGATATTGTCCGCTTTGGGCTTACCATTCCCTCACGGTTTTGTTTTTGGGAACTTACGAGCAACTTCCCAGTGGGTCACCCATCATGGAATTGCTCTAGCCCCCTTCTCGCTTAACTTCGGAGTTCCTACGGAACCCGAAGCCAGTGAGCTCTCAAAAGGCCTCGTGCTAGGTAGGGATGAGAATATACATTTAAGGATCACACCCCTGGACGATGTGAGATGTCACAATCCACCCTCCTTAAGGGCCCGACGTCCTTGTCAGCACACACGCGGTCAGGGTTAGGCTCTGATACCAAATTGTCACATCCCGGCCCGAGACGGATCATTTCCCTGGCCCGCTCCACCACCGTAGCACGATATTGTCTGCTTTGGGCTTACCATTCCCTCACGGTTTTGTTTTTGGGAACTCACGAGCAACTTCCCAGTGGGTCACCCATCATGGGATTGCTCTAGCCCCCTTCTCGCTTAACTTCGGAGTTCCTATGGAACTCGAAGCCAGTGAGCTCCCAAAAGACCTCGTGCCTTCTCGCTTAACTTCGGAGTTCCTATGGAACTCGAAGCCAGTGAGCTCCCAAAAGACCTCGTGCTAGGTAAGGATGAGAATATACATTTAAGGATCACACCCCTGGACGATGTGGGATGTCACATACCCTGACCCCCTCATCAAGGCCAATGACGCTATCAAGCTGGACTTAGAGACCTACAAAATCACTGACTTCACTAAGTTTGATGTTGGTAATGTTGTCATGGTTACTGGCGGAAGGAATAGGGGACGTGTTGGAGTCATTAAGAACAGGGAGAAGCATGAGGGAAGCTTTGAAACTATCCACGTGCCCTCGGTCATGAGTTTGCAACCCGTCTTGGTAATGTGTTCACCATCGGCAAGAGTACAAAGCCGTGGGTGTCGCTTCCCAAGGACAAGGGCATCAAGCTAAGCATCATTGAAGAGGCAAAGAAGCGACGAGCAGCCACCCAAATAGCTGCTACTGCATAAACAATATGGCAACTATAGATTGTTGTTCCTATAGTTTTAGAATGGTACTTAGTTAAGCAGTTCGACTCCCTTCAGCTTATACTCGGGATTTTATTTTCTTTCGTTTTGCGGCCTTGGGTTATGACTATTATCCATAATATAGTTTTTGAGATTGTTACGTTAGATAATAAGATGCTTATGTTGTTAGATTACGAACCTAAATTCATAGATTTTTGAAAGGTCTAAAACGAAAATGGAAGATCCATCCTAAAATAGTATTCTCAGAGAGGAAAATTTATGAAGTACAAAGAGAGAATATGAGGTGCAATATTTGGCATAAAATCTCTGTAGAGAGAAACGACGTCGTGCTTCTTTTGTCATGCAGCATTGCCATTGAGGAGCATCTGATCAAAGTGCCAACACCTACAAATTAACAAAACAATAAGCCACTTTGAGTTCATTGCAAAATTTGTTCACATGTCGTAAAATTTTCTCAAAAGATGCTGTTAATCGATCAGCCATTACCATGTCCGGCGCCAATCCTTCTCAACTGAGCTACATACTCGGACATTTTCTATATGGCTTCCACCTAAATTACCCGAATTCAGTTCTTCGATCTTCGTCAAAATCTTGCCAAAGAATGAGAAAGGAAAACGAAAGAGATCGTATCGAAGTTGCATACCTGCTCAGTCAAATAGTTACTCTCCAGAAAATCCACCAGTTGCACATCATTGTCTTCGTTTGCTATCTGTAATAATATTTAACAGTTTCACAGATAGTCTTAATTTGAATTGATCGACAGATAAAGCAGCTAATTTGGAAAAAAAATATGTACTTTAAAGTTTAAACAAAAGAATAATGGCGTTTAAAGTAAAATGAAATTGCAAAGTTACTTACTTTGTGTAAATTTAGAAGGCTTCTCATTGTTCATCTTTTCCAAGGCCAGTGTAAGCTCCATTGCTGGGGAAAACAAAGGAAAACATGGTAAGAAGTGATAAAAGGAAGTGATTTCCGAACTCCCCTTTTTCTTTCGTGCTCATTCTTTTTTTCTTCTTAGCAGTTGGATTGAATAAAATAAAATTACGGACGGAAACAAGAGGAGGAGTACTTAAAGAGAAAATGAGAGAGTGAAACATTACTAAACTTGAAAAGAACTTACCATACAATGCATCACCCTTTTCGACATGACCAAACTCGGAGACGGGAATTCGCATGGACGGTAGCTTAACTTTCCCTCCGCGTTTGGTCTGATACTCATCGGAATACAGACTTAGAGATCGATATATAGAACCAATGGAAACAGAAGAAAATGATATTGGAATCTCAAATGGAGAAAGTATGAAATGTATAGCAGAAAACCTGGTATTCCGTAAGTTTTTCAGCATGCTGCCTTTCTTCACTTGATTCTTTGAAAAATCTGCAAGTTTTCTTGAACTTAAATAACGAATAGATCCGAAAATATCATCAGATTTCGGCAAAAAAAATCAGGTTTAGAAAGAGTAATTACTTGGCAAGTCCCTAACATTGTCTCTGTCAAAGTAGGCACACATGGCGTGGTACACATAGGAGACATTGTATTCCACACTAATTCAGAGAACAAAATTTTGGTATGAAACTGGTCAGAACTTTGCATACATATTTGGATCTACTAACCAAAATCAAACAAAAACAAAAGTAGAATTGATATAAATTTATATATGAGAAAGACATAAAATGATATATGCACAAATCGAACCAATTAGAAATTCTTAGTCAAACATAAAATAGGTGACATTAATTAGACAATAAATAAGGGCTCTAATTGTGGCTTATTTTATGTACAGTTATTGTTAAAGATGCTCCACATGCAGTGCACTGTGCTTTACAGATTCCACTGTGCTTTACAGATTGGAATATGGTTCCCACGTTAAGGATGTATGATTATTCTAAACAACAAGGACACATGCATAGTGGACAGCAAGGCCACTGCATGTGTATACTGACTGATGTTTCATAGACAGCAAGGATGCCACTTCCAGTTGTTTTGTTTATTTGCATGCGTGTGTAGTAAACTGTGTATAAAACTCTGCTGCAATTGCAGCAGATCATTATTCAAAATATAGATTGGATACAAGTTTAACATGGTATCAGAGCACCGATCTTGGTGACTCTAGAAAGCTCATTCTGCTTCCACCACAAACACAACCAGTCCATCTTCATTAAACATAGCCACCATGGGCGACGAAAGACCAACTGAGACGATACCCCATGTATCTGATCCTCTCATTCTGCATCATTCAGACTCACCAAGTCTTGTCTTAGTCTCACAACTTCTTGATGGACACAACTATGGACAGTGGAGCCGTTCTATGCGAATCGCCCTCAGCGCCAAAAACAAACTAGGGTTCATTGATGGATCAATCAAGAATCCCGCAACCACTGATGCCAAGTATCCAATTTGGCAGAGATGCAATGACATGGTCTTGTCCTAGATTTGGCAATCCGTGCAGGGCAACATTGCCCACAGTATACTTTACTGCAAAACTGCATCAGCAGCATGGAGAGATCTTGAGGATCGTTTCTCGCAAGGAAAGGATTCCAGGATTTATCAAATTCGACAAGAAATTGCCGAACACCGACAAGGACAGCTATCTGTTTCAGATTATTACACAAAATTGAAAACTCTCTGGGATGAATTAGCATCATATCATGGGCCCATTGCCTGTGAATGCGAGGGATCCAAGGCACATGCAGCAGGGAAGAAAAAGAGAAAGCCATGCAGTTCTTAATGGGTCTGAACGAGAGTTACTCAATCATACGAGTTTCTATCTTAATGATGAGCCCACTTCCAGATACACGACGAGTCCATGGATTGGTTCTTCAACATGAACGCCAATTGGATGTGGTAAATCGACGTGAACCTATCGCCCATGCAATGCAAACCAGTCATTCGACAGCACCAAAACGAGGCTATGGTGCCAACAACCCTAATTCACGGAAGATATTCAAATGCAGCTACTGTGACGGAGGACATCCAGTCGAACGTTGTTTTTTCCTTATTGGATTCCCTGAAGGACACAAATGGCACGGGAAGAATGTGCAGCCCAGAAATAGACGTGCACCTCTAACTTCCAACAATGTTGAAGCATTACCGTCGCCAGCTACCAAAGCAACAACCTCCAACAAATTTGATGCAACGTTCACAACTGAGGAGTACAACCAACTCATGGCTCTCCTTCGCAATAAGAATGGTACTGATCTGCCCCTTGCACATGCAACAGGTATCTATACACCCAACTGCAATTTTGCACATTATGATCCAACATTGTATTGGATCGTGGATAGTGGGGCCACAGATCATGTTTCTCACTTATCACTCAGCCATAATCACACTAAAACCCAACATGATTTTGTTGGTTTACCAAATGGCGGACAGGCTGCGATTGAAACCATTGGGTCCATTAAATTGTCCCCCGAGATAACTCTTGATGGAGTTTTACATGTGCCACAATTTCATGTGAATTTGTTATCTGTGAGTAAGTTGACCTGGGCATTGAAGTGCATTGTGATATTTTACCCAGGTTTTTGTGTTGTGCAGGACATGGCTACGAAGAGGATGATTGGCCTGGGCAAGTAGTTTAATGGACTTTACTACCTCACTCCAACACAAAACCCTCATCTTGCTCACCATGTCAAACGTACCTCGGCACTTTGGCATCAACGTCTTGGGCACCCATCCTCGGCTCCCCTTCACTCTTTATCCCAGATTATCCCAGAAATTATCTTTGATTCTACACATGTTTGTGATGTTTGTCCTTTAGCAAAACAAACTTGTTCATCTTTTGTTTCCAGTTCAATAAAATCAGTTGCTCCTTTTGATTTGATCCACTGTGATATTTGGGGGCCACATAAAATCCATACACACTCTGGGGCACGTTACTTCCTCACCATTGTAGATGACTTTACCCGTTTCACATGGGTTCATCTTATGCGATTTAAATCAGATACACAAACCTTGTTGCACTCGTTCTTTTCTTGGGTTAAAACCCAGTTTCATCGTGACATTAAAACCCTTCGTGCAGACAATGGGGGAGAATTTGTATCTATGCGTTCGTTTTTAGACACTCATGGCACCCTTTTTCAACACACCTGTGCACACATCCCTCAACAAAACGGGGTAGTTGAACGCAAACATCGCCATCTTTTGAACGTTGCCCGTGCTTTACGATTTCAAGCTAACCTACCCTTAAAATTCTGGGGGGAGAGTATACAAACTGCATGTTACCTTATCAATCGCCTTCCAGCACCCTTACTTTCCCACAAATCTCCCTATGAACTCTTGCATGGGACACTACCTACATACTCTCATCTCCGGGTTTTTGGGTGTTTATGTTATGCCACCAACCTTACCCCCTCCCACAAATTTGATGCTCGTGCTCGTCGCTGCCTCTTCCTGGGTTATCCCCTTGGCCAAAAGGGCTACCGTGTTTATGACCTTGATAGCAAACGCGTTTTTTCCTCTCGTGATGTCATCTTTCATGAGCATATTTTCCCCCTTGCTACCTCACCACTAGAAAAAGACCTCGACTTCCCTGTCTTACCTATCCCTCATGACGATCCCACTCCTGCACTCCTCTCAACTCAACCCCTTCCAACTCCTGACCTCCTTCTCACTGCCGATATCACTCCTTCACCCCCAGACATCCCTCCCTCGCCAGACATCCCTCCCTCACCTTCACAACCTCCTTCTCTTCGCCGCTCCGACCGCATTAAACACCCACCTGCCCATTTTTGTGACTACCAGACACATCATACTGCTTTGCTTCAGCGCAGCGTCATCCTTTCCACCATGTCCGGCACCCGATACCCCCTTCAACGGTATGTTTCTTACTCCCATCTCTTTCCTGCTCACTGCTCTTTTGTCCACAACATCTCTCACTTGGTTAAACCAGCCTCTTATGAGCAGGCCCGTCATGACCCTCACTGGCTTGCAGCCATGAACTCTGAGATTGAAGCCCTTGAAGCCAATCACACCTGGACTATGGTTCCCCTCCCTCCTCACCAACGACCCATTGGCTGTAAATGGGTCTTCAAAATCAAGTACCATTCTGATGGTACCATCGAACGCTACAAGGCCCGCCTTGTCGCCAAAGGGTTCACGCAGCGCGAAGGGATTGATTACAAAGAGACGTTTGCTCCAGTTGCTAAACTCATTACTGTCCGCTGTCTCTTGACTGTTGTTGCTGTTCGCAGCTGGTCTCTTCATCAAATGGATGTCCAAAATGCTTTCCTTCACGGTGTATTGCATGAAGAAGTTTATATGATACCGCCTCCTGGATATCGTCAACAGGGGGAGACCATGGTTTGTTGACTCCACAAATCGTTATACGGACTCAAGCAAGCTTCTCGCAGTTGGTTCCAACGTTTTTCATCTGCCATTCAAGAAATTGGCTCCCAACAGTCCTGTGCGGATTACTCGTTATTCACTCAGGTATGTGGACAATCTATTACTGTGGTATTACTCTACGTTGATGACATGATCATTGCAGGAAATGATGAGGAAGCCATTAATCGACTCAAGAAGTTTCTTAGTGGTTGTTTCCGAATTAAAGATCTCGGACCATTAAAATATTTTCTTGGTGTCGAAGTTGCACGGTCTAAGGCTGGGATCTCCATTTGCCAACGTAAATATACCTTGGATATATTGGAGGAAGCTGGTTTGCTTGGAGTAAGACCTGCCAAGGTACCCATGGAACCTGATTTAGTGTTGACAACAACGGGTAGTGATGCTCTCAAGGACCCGACTCGATATCGACGTTTGGTTGGTAAACTGATCTATCTCACCATTACAAGGCCAGATGTTACGTATGCAGTAAATAATCTCAGTCAGTTCATGCAAGAACCCAAACTTCACCATCTTAAGGCAGCACATCGCCTTCTCCAATATCTGAAAGAAGCACCCGGACAAGGCTTAATGTTCTCTTCCCAAAGTGAATTACATTTAATCGGTTACTGTGATGCAGATTGGGCACGTTGCCCCATTACCCGTCGATCAGTGACGGGTTATTGTATCTTCCTTGGAAAGTCACTTGTGTCCTGGAAAAGCAAGAAACAAGTTACAATAGCTCGTTCCTCTGCTGAAGCGGAGTATCGATCCATGGCTGTAGCTACTTGTGAATTAAGTTGGCTGCGATATTTGTTGAAAGATTTACGTGTTGAGCATTCCCAACCGGCAAAGTTATTTTGTGACAACCAAGCGGCTTTACACATAGCTGCAAATCCTGTGTATCATGAACGCACAAAGCATATTGAGATCGATTGCCACACTGTTCGTGAGAGGGTTGAAAGGGGAGAAATTAAAACTTCCTATGTCGAAACGGGAGAACAAGTCGCAGGCTTGTTTACTAAGCCATTGCGTGCGCCTATTTTTCAAACGCATCTAGGCAAGTTAGGCGTCATTGACATTCACGCTCCGACTTGAGGGGGAGTGTTAAAGATGCTCCACATGCAGTGCACTGTGCTTTACAGATTCCACTGTGCTTTACAGATTGGAATATGGTTCCCACGTTAAGGATGTATGATTATTCTAAACAACAAGGACACATGCATAGTGGATAGCAAGGCCACTGCATGTGTATACTGACTGATGTTTCATAGACAGCAAGGATGCCACTTCCAGTTGTTTTGTTTATTTGCATGCATGTGTAGTAAACTGTGTATAAAACTCTGCTGCAATTGCAGCAGATCATTATTCAAAATATAGATTGGATCCAAGTTTAATAGTTATTGTGTGTTTAGTGTTCTTAGTTCCATTGTGACTTAAAAAATTTCACCTTTACGCAAACATGGGCTAGACCGATTAGTTACGGTAGTGTACCACTTCATATATGCACCTAAGTTTGAATCATTTTCTTTGTTAAATTATTGTAGTTTATAACTAGTTCTATTTGTGTATATTTCGTCATTCGAAAAACCTCAATCTTTTGTGAAAACAAAGGGGTTAGAAAATAGTCAAGAAATCAACATTTCCAATGAACATTAAGATCAGAAAAAAGACTATATAAAAATGGGAGCTTCTGATTGGTCAGAATATTTTTGGCGAGCAAGAGACGCATGAGGGACAGTGGGGACCAGAAGGAGCTCCTTCTGACCTCCTCCAATGGCTCAAACACCACCTCCAATGTGGGTCTGTTGTCAGCCTCTTTTTTGGCAAATATTACCAACCGACCTGAACCATGCACATGTCAGCCCGAGACCGCCAAAAGGCTCGGCCTGTTCGTGATTGTTGGTGAAGAAGAAAAGCTTGATGGCGCATTGTGTAGAAATTGAGAGAGAGAGAGAGAGAGAGAGAGAGAGAGAGAGAGAGAGAGAGAGAGAGAGAGAGAGAGAGAGAGATTGTGTATTTAACCTAATACTCTGCAGTGCAAATAGATTGTTGGTGAATGATAACCTTTTCCTCGTCGTTTTAAGCTAATGATATATCTTGTTTCAAATATGCTTTGTGTAACAATATTTTCATTTTAAAATCAATTTTGGATATGTAAACATATTACAAGCACCTCAAAAATTTAAATAAAAATGATGTGTGCTTTTACGGAAGCACGTCAAGTGTTTTTTAAACATGATAAAAAGCGTTTTTAGTGATCTAAAAACCTTTTTAATTATTTTGAATATACTTTCAAGATGACTCTTAGAATAGTTCTACGCATTATAACTTGTACTTGATTATGATTTTTTTTCGGTTGAATTTTGGGATGCGTATACTGTCATTGTGACATTTCGTATCAAGCAAATTGCCCTCACCTTGGAGGGTCAAGAAACTCCTCACAAAGTTACAATAATATAGTACTACAATCTAGTAGTATTCCTCTTCACTTATAAGTGAGAGGTCTTCGGTTCGATTTTCGCCAAATGCGAGTTTGAACCATGTTATTGCTAGCCCATTGCGAGACTATGCCCACCCCCTCTCCTTTTCGGTAATATTGTTTGTTAAAAAAAAAAAAGGTATAATAGCTTAGAAGATTTTGAAAAACTAGTGTAATTAAAAATAAAGTGTTTCTCATAAATAGAAGTAGTGAAACTTAAGTAGAAGAAATCAGGCTTGCAACCTACCAAAGTCTCTTCCTAAAAAAAATGGGGGGACAAAAGAATGGTATTACATAATCCGCACTGTAGCAGGTTCAGACAGGTTCAAAAGGACCACTGTTCCAAAGAGGGGTGGGCCGGTATGGCTGCGAGTAATGTACTCCGGGAGTCGGAATGGCACCAAAACCGGTGCCGGAATAAGCACCAATTTCACAGTTGTTGGTAGCCATACCAAACTGCCCGTGGTGCTGCCAATATAACGGCGGCCTTGGCTGCCGAAAGCCTGGGTTGAAATTTTGCACTGGATAGGGTGGAACAGCTGATTCGGATGTCCGAGGATACTTATTTGCGCGCTGTTGTTGCGGTTGAAACCCCGGGTCATAAGTAGGGGTACTTCGTTTGTGACCTCTACCATCCCAATTGATGCTGGGTTGATTACTTGCAAAAGAAGGAACAACGACATTGTTGGCAGGGATACAATCTAATTGCTGCATCTTCACTTGAGAATGAGGAATACTGTAATTCTCCTTTGATTGCAGGTTTTGGATGTGTTCCTCAGTAGATTTTTTGCTCGAATCAAACTCTTTCCGCTTCAATTCAAGCTCTTTGGCTTGAAATTCAAGTTGCCTCTCTTTTGATTTCAGCTTTCGAGCTTGTTCTTCAAGCGATTTTTTTATCAAAATAAATTCTTTCTGCTTTGATTTAAGATCTCTGGCCTTGTCTTCAATCTGGCTCTCCTTCGATTCCAGTGAAGCTATTCGTGATTTGATACACCTGAAAGGGTACATGGCCTCTAGGTCGCAATCTTTGATGCATTCAATCACTGCTCTAAGATCAGCTATCTGGTCATTGATAACCTTATCCTTTTCGTCGAGTGATTTCTTTCCCTTGCCAACTTTCCTGCAAAACCTCTTTGTATTCTCCACAAATTTTTCCAATAGCGGTACTGGGGGGAACATGTCAGTTAACTTGAACATACAAATCCATCTAACAGCTTCAATGAATAGCTTCTTTTCGATAAGCCTTTGAATCATATCAGGGATAAGACTTTGAAGCTCCTTTGTATCATAAGCAGAGGTGATTTCGTATGCAGTAACGAGCCTCATAAAACTCAAAACCTCCAAGCAATTCTCTGCCCCCTTCGCCGCTCTCGCCTTCCACTCACCAGCCAACTTAATTGCTTCTTCTCTCACATGTGGGCTAATATGTGGTGAGATGCTGTTCAAATTCTCTAACAAATGAATAGAACTCCTCCTAATCACAGTCAAATCACAATCAGACTCGCTGTTGTCCACGGTGGATTTTGAAGGGTAAAACCCTTGCAATGCATCCAAAACAAATTTTGCTGGGTCCGCATGAAAAATGGCTGAGATGTCACCACCCACTAAATTGTATCTCTTCAAATGATCATTCAACTGCAATCCTCTAACATCCCTATCAATGCTCGATTGATTACTTGCAGAAGAAGGAACAATGGCATTGTTGACAGAGAGATGTTCCAATTGTTCAATCTTCACTTGACAACAAAGAATGCCAGTGTTCTCTTTCGAGTTCAGGTTTTCCATGTCTTCTTCAGTGGATTTTGTGATCGAATCAAATTCTTTCTGCTTCAATCCAAGCTCGTTGGCCTGCTCTTCAAGTTGCCTCTCTTTCAATTTCAGATTTAGGGCCTGTTCTTCAATAGATTTTTCGATCGACTCAATTTTTTGCTGCTTCAAGTCAAGCTCTTTGGACTTCTCTTCAAGTTGTCTCTCTTTCAATTTCAGATTTTCGGTGTTTTCTTTTCTAATCCAATCAAATTCTTTCTGCTTCAATTCAAGCTCTTTGATCTGGCCTTCAAGTTGCCTCTCTTTCGATTTCAGTTTCTGGTTATATTCTTCGGTGGATTTTCTGATCGAATAAAATTTGTTCTGCTTCAACTCAAGCTCTTTGGCCTGATCTTCAAGTTGCCTCTCTTTTGATTTCAGGTATTGAGTGCGCTCTTCAGTGGATTTTTTGATCAAATCCAATTCCTTCTGCTTCAATTCAAGCTCTTTGGCCTGGTTTTCAAGTCGCCTCTCCTCCAATTTCAGGTTTTGGGTATGTTCTTCAGTGGATCTTTTGATCGAAATCAATTCTTTTCGCTTCAATTCAATCTCTCTGTCCTGGTATCGAAGTTTGTTCTCTTTCGTTTGAAGTCCCCGAGAGAGTGTATCCAAATGCTTTTCGCCTTCTTCTCTCGATTCTTTGACCCGTTTTTCTTTCAATTCAATCTCCTTCTCTTTCAATTCAAGCTTACATGACCACTCCTCCATTGACTTCCTGCGCAAGCAGATATCTTGTTCCTCCAAACAAAGTTTCTCCGCTTTCACCTTCAACTCCTTGTCACATTCTTGAATCGCCATTTTCTCCGATTTCAATGCCCCTTCTCTCAAATCGAACTCCGCCTTACGGGCCTCCATTGACCCTAGAACCTTTCTCAATTCTCTCTCTTTTAACGCCATGTCCTCCACACTTCTCTCGACCGAATTCAATTTTTTCGTCCTTTGTTCGACGCGCCTCTTGATCAAATCGCACTCCCTCTCCTTCTCCCTCACAAAACCCTCAACCTCCACCAATCTCTTCTCTTGAACAATCACCGCATTGCTGTGTTCTCGAATCAACGACTGAAGCGAAAGCAAGTGGTTCTTTTTTTTGTCGACCAATTTCTGAAGTACCTGCAAACTGTTGGATTTCGACTCCATCTCCGAGCTGACCTTCGACTTTTTGATTTCCAACTGCTCGGCTTTGGCTCGGACTTGCTCCTCACGGTGCTCGAGTTCCCGGAGTTGGGCCTCGATGGAGAGACGCGTGGACTCGAATTGGTCCTCGAGGTCCTTCCACTGTACGGAAAACACAGCGAGGGAGGTTGCATGGGCGTGAAGGCAGTCGTACGCTTTGCGTAGAGTCGACTGCTTCAACTCTGATTCTTTCAAATCGGACTCTATGTTCTCCATTGTCTCCGCAGCATAAACCCTAAGTGAAAACGACGTCGCGGTGGTGGGGAATCGTCTGCTCAAAACCCTAGAAACGGAGGATGAAAACGAACGAAAAGAATGCGGTTGTGGTTTGTTTCTCTTGTTAAAGCAACTTCACGTATTGGTTTAAGTAGGGCAGAGAAGGGAGGGGAGTCCTATTTCCGTAGGGAAAGAGGAGTAGGAGAAAACAAAGGAAACTGGTGTTCCAAGAGCATGTAGGGAAAATAATCCCTTACAAAAAAGGTAACTTATGCCCAATAAATGTACTTGGGTTAACCAGCAAACTACACAATGAGTCTGTCATAATAATATGATATCGAAATCACCATCTACAAAATTGAACTTAAAACTTTCACTTGCAAGTAAAGAATAATAATTGGCATCTACAACTTTTTTTAAATAAAAAAATTGTTGTATGGCAGGCACAATGTCTTGGCCAATTAGCCTAAGCATCTATACTGAAAAATCAAATATGTGGAAGTATTTATCAATGCTATAATCTTGTTTTGGACAAATCAACCTTGCGTCCACACATCATAACACGTGACATGGAATGTTATCCAGCGTTGCATTGATACACTCAATAATTTCTCAATCAAAGTCAACCTCGAAAGAGAGAAGACTATGGTGGCACTACGTAATTTCTCAGTGTAATCATCACAACAAGACGTGGTAATTCACTTATGTACTAATAATTAAAGTGTATCTACTTCTCAGTACTATAATCTAGTTGAGGACAAATCAACCTTGCGTCCACACATACTAACACATGACTTGAAACATTATGCCACACTGCACTGATACAGATCACACAAATTTCTCAATCAAAGTCCAACCCGAAAGAGAAAAGACTGGTGGCATTAAGTAATTTTTTGATGCAATCGTCACAGCACGACGTGATATTCACGTATATAGTGATATATTTATCAATACTATAATGTAGTTAAAGATAAATCACGTATTCTAGACTGAATATCACTTCTCACCGATTTAAGTTCGATCGGGCTTCAGTTAATTTCTTTGCTGAATTTTACGATGAGCATACTTTCAATCTTGGTTTTGTTGAGTTTACTAATTTGAAGGATAAAATCACTTTAAAATTGTATGGGTTGAAGGCTTATCAAATGCTTTCTGGATTCGAATATAATCATGTTCACAATTCTGTGTGTTTCAATGTCATACTTAAGGTATAATCATTGCTCACACAAAATTTAAACTTTGACGATAACATACTACCACGTGATATATTCCAGTTGTACGTAAGAATCTCACCTGAACTTGCACCGAAACCATGTCAATGGGTAATGTATTCCAGGATTCGGTATGGCACAGTAAGCACCACCAAAACTAAAAATCAGAAAAAAAAAAAAAAAAAAAACTAGAGAGATGATAGTGCAAGGAAGAGGTATGAGGCAGTTAAAACTCTACCCAAAATTTGGGTTTGGGAGTAACAAAAAAAAAAGAAAAAGAAAAAAGAAGCCTTGAGGCGCACCTACCGCAGCCTAGGCTGCTTCGGCGAAGCCTTATGCCCACTCCCTCAAAACAGAGGCGGCAACCCTCAAGCCCAACCTTAGAGGGCGCCTTGAGGCGAGCCTTTTAAAACATTGCTTTTAGTTCAAGCTTAAATGACCACTCCTCCATTGCCTTCTCACGCAAGCAAACATCTCTCTCCTTCAAATCTACTTCCTTAATCAACTCCTCTCTCGATTTGAGTTCATTCGAACACTCAACCCAACAATTCCTGAATCAAACCAAGCTTCTCCTCTTTAACTTCCAACTCTTTGCCACATTCTTTGATCAACCTTAGCATCAATTTCAGTTCCTTTTCTCTCAAATCAAACTCCCCCTTACTCGCCTCAATCGACCCCAGAATCTCATTCAATTCCCTCTTCTTCTCCCTCAAAAAATTTTCAACTTCCACCAATCTCTTCTCTTTAACATCAACCTCGTTGCTATGTTCCTTGAGCAACAATTCAAGCGAGCGCAAGCTATTCCTACTCTCTACAATCTCTTGTACTTTCTCTCCAATCAATTCCTCAAGCACGCTTAATGTTGGAAATTTTGAGTAGAAATTTCTTTATCTCACATTGGTCATTACAAAAAGGTTTCCTCACTTTATAAGGCTTATTAATAATTAATTAATATATGATTAATTGATAATTATTTATAATTAATAATAATTAAATTATTTAATTAATTATTTTCGGATATAATTAATTTTTTTTTTTTTTACCAATAGACACATCCTTTTGGACAAAGTCTGAAGTGTGGTGAAAGAACACAGAAAGCAAACACCCATCTGAGACAATGTCCCCCAACAGAGGCATCCCTTCTCCATACCTATTGCGAATAGGCATAATCATATTATATATACATATCCATCTGCATGGTATTTAGAACACAAAAAAACATAATTCTCCTTTTACAATCCAAAGCATTCTTACTGAGAGAACCACAAAGAAATTCGTCAGAATTAAGTTTTCCGATGCTGTAATTTTAACTTGATCGTTGAATTCTGGTGAAGCGGAAGTCCATAGAACTACAAGCACTGAGTAGGGATAAAATTTTTGTTTCAAAGACATTGCGGTACGCAAGCCTCGATCTTCTGTTTATCTGCTTAATTATTATTGCATTCTGTTTATATTTTATAAAATATTTATTCGCATTTATTATTAACATATATAAATTTGTCTTTATCCAACACTTAATTCGTTGAATTTCGACTCCATATGCGAACTGAGCATTGACTCGTTGATTTCCAACTGCTCGTTATGGACTCTGACTTCCTCCTCGCGGTTCTTGAGCTCCCAGAATCTGGCCTCGATGTACTGGCGGGTGGACTCTAAGTGGTCCTCGAGTTCCTTCCACTGTATTGAAAACATGGCGATGGAGGTTGCTTGGGCGTGAAGGCAACCGTACACCTTGCTCAAACGACACTGTTTCATCTCTGATTCTTTCAAGGCACACTCTATCTTGTCCTCCATCGTCTCTGCTGCATAAGCACTAAGCAAAAACAATGTCGTGCCGGCGAGGGATTACGTCTGCTAAAAACCCTAGAAACAAGAGGATGAGAAGAGAAAGTAATGTGGTTGTGCTTTATGGTTAAGGCAAGTTCACGTACTTGATTGAATAGAAACTGTTGTAAGAGTTTGAGATCCTCTTGTCCCACATTGGTCAACAATATTTTTTTACTAGCCTTTATATAGGTTTATTCCTTCTTCTTAATAATTAGAACTTAGACCATTTGGAAATGGATTGAAGGTTTGGGCCTTATGGTTGTGTGGATTAGGCTTGAATATAATATAGCCTAAATACAATTAATATTAATTAATCAAGACAAGGGCTTTGGAATTTAAAATTAATCAGATTCATTAATTTTAATTTTCGAATTAAGTTTTTAATTAAATTAATTAAAAACGTTTTGATTAATAGAAAATTTTCGAATTAAGTTTTTAATTAAATTAATTAAAAACGTTTTGATTAATAGTCACAACTCTTTGGAAAGGGTTGTATAGCTTCAGATACATCCAAAAGGTGTTTGAAGAGGTATGAAAGAGCCTATATAACTAGAGTCCTTAATTCCATCAAAAATCATTTTTTCTTCCTTCTTGTCTTTCGTACAAAATTTTCAGAGAGTAAACACACAAAGCAATTCGCTAGAGTTCTATAATCCAGTGCGGGTTGTAGAATTAGGTAGTTGTATCCTGGTCGAGCACACATTGTAGAACCACAAGCACACGAGTGGGATGGAAATACTATTCGATTTCGAAGGACATAGCATTTACGATAGCCTCTACCTTCAATTCATTCAAGTTAGTATCATTTTAATTTTTTATAATTATTGTGTAATTGTATTCTGTATTGCAAGTATTTTTTAATAATAAAGTATAAGTATTTCGGTTCTATATTTCTGTTATTTTATTGTTTCTAAATTGTTCTCCAGCAACTGTTTCCTAAAGGGAAGAGGATTAGCAGAAAACAAATGAAAGTGGTGTTCCCAGGGCATGTAGGAAAAATAAAGGAAACAAGATTAAACAGATAATGAGGTCAAAAGGTCAAAATAAATAAATAAATAAACGCCAGCAAAAGAAATAAAAAAAGGAATGTAATTTATGTTTAAAGGGAATCAAATACTTAGGTAAGCTGAAGAAGATAACTAGAAGGGAAAATCCAAAATTCAGGCATCTTGACCAAATTTAACTTTTTTAAAAGGACATTGGCACCAAGATGGTTCTATGATCATCCAGAAGGGAAAATATACATGCGAAGGTCTTCTAAAGATTCTTCGAATGTTTGGTTTAGGTCTTCTTTTTTATCAAATGGTTTAGGTTCCTTTTGTGTCCATCAAGTGTTTGAAGTAATCCATGCTAGACATATCTTGGTAGCACTCGGCATGTTACATCGAGAGCACTCGACAAATGCTCTCGATAGCACTTATCAAATTGTTTCGGCATATGTCAATAACTATTGACATGTATGCAACATAGTTCGATTGACTACAATAAGTCCAACAAATGTTTGACAAAATGCCTAGTGAATAAACTGAATTTTCTTTTTGCAAGCTTCGTGGTCTGTCTCTATTTAAAAAATTAAACTTTAACACTAGAACCCCTCAATGTTCAAATTCTAAATCCGCCATTGCACACATCTACTGCTTCCAAGATTCAAACTCTCACCCTCGGCTTAGTGCAAACTAACGAACTTTGTTAGTGCACCTCCTCCGAGTTCTTAGTTCTATATGTAAATCTCTAAAGTCGTTGAATTTTTTGTATTTTCGGTTAAAATTTTGGATAAAAGGAGTTTAGGGCTTAACATCTCCACCATATCTCGAAAATCCGGGTAATCATAAGAGATACCAAATTTTGTTTCAAGAAAAACATGACCACTCGCGTCGGGTTCGTCTTAGTTTCTTTCTTCTGTCGTCGTCAACTGACCACACCTAAACCGAACTACGCTCTGTTTCTCCAGTCGTCGCGAACTGAACACTCCCTACTTCATTTGATCGACCGCTATCGAACACTATGAGGGACATTGGTTGTAAACTACCAAACCCTTTCGATTACACATTGATATATCTGCGATTGCATGTAAGAATCTCTCCCTAAATCCACACCTTTATTTTTCATACATCAAAGTTGAAAATACAAAATACATTTCAAACTATTCAAACTATGTCAAGAGCATTTACAACGAAGTCAGATCAGACTTGGTGCTTCTCCTTAAAAAGGACCAACATATCTAGGATGGCTTACAGGGGGAGGAGGAGGAGGAGGAGGAGGGCCGGGAAAGTATGGCGGCCGATAATGCATTCCCGTATTTGGACCAAAATTAGTCATACCAAACTGCCCAAAGTGCCCATTTTCGTAATGCCAAGGTGGCGGCGGCGGACCTGGCTGCGGGTAGCCTACTGGGGTGTAATTTGGGACTTGATAGTGTGTCACGGCTGATTCATATGGCGGATGATAGCCTGTGTTGTAAGTTGGCACTGACTTGGGTGGAACAGCTGGTTCCGATGTCCGAGGATACTTATTTTCGCGTTGTTGCGGCGGCTGGAACCCGGAGTCAAACGTGGCGGTACTGCGTTTCTCACCTCTACCATCCCAATCGACGCTGGATTCATTACTTGCGGAAGAATGAACGGCTGCATTGCTGTCAAGGACAGGTTCCAATTCTTTGATCGAGTCCAATTCTTTCTGCTTCACTTCAAGCTCTTTCCCCTGGTGATCGAGTTCCTTTTCTTTCGAATTCAAGGTTTGGTTGCGATCTTCAATCGCCTTTTCGATCGAATCCAATTCTTTCTGCTTCAGTGCAAGCTCTTTCGCCTGCTGATCGAGTTCCCTCTCTTTCGAATTCAAGGTTTCGGTGCGATCTTCAGTTGCCTTTTTGATCGAATCCAACTCTTTCTGCTTCAGTGCAAGCTCTGTCGCCTGCTCTTCGAGCTGCCTCTCCTTTGATTTCAGGCTTTCGGCTTGTTCTTCAGCGGATTTTTTCATTGAATCAATTTCCTTCTGCTTCAGTTCAAGCTCTTTGGCCTTGTCTCCGAGTTGCCTCTCTTTCGATTCCAGGTTTTCAGTGTGTTCTTCGGTGGATTTTTTTATTGATTCCAATCCCTTATGCTTCAATGCCAGCTCTTTCGAGCGGTGATCAAGGTGCCTCTGTATCGATCTTAGGCATTGGGCGCGTTCTTCGTTGGATTTTTGGATCGAATCCAATACCGTCTGCTTCAACTCAAGTTCCTTGGTCTTGTCTTCCAGTTGCTTCTCTTTCGGTTTCAGGTTTTGGGTTTGTTCTTCAGCGGATTTTTTTATCGAATCAATCTCTTTCTGCTTCAACTCGATCTCTTTCGCCTGATCTTCGATTTGCCCCTCTTTCGACTTCAGAGTTTCGGTGTGTTCTTCTATGATTTTCTTGATCAAGTCCTGCTGCTTCAATGCAAGCTCTCTGGCCTGCTGCTGAAGTTGGCTCTCTTTCCTCTGCAGTAAGCTTTCCTTCCTTTGCAGTTGGATCTCTTTCTCTTGAAGTCCCCTGGAGACTTTATCCAAATACTTTTCGCCTTCTTGCTTCGATTTTTCAAGCTCCTTCTCTCTCAATTGAAGCTCACTACTCCACTCCTCCAGTGCATTCTCAAGCAAACTCAAATCACTCTCTTTCAAATCCATTTCCCTAATCATTCCTTCCCTCGATTCGAGTTCCTCCTCTTTCGCCTTCAGCTCCCTCTCACATTCCTCAATCGACCTTCGCGCTGATTCCAGCTCCTCCCCTCTCGAATCAAACTCCGCCTTTCGCGCCTCGATCGACCTCAGAACCTCTCTCGACTCCCTCTCTTTCAATTCAATGCCCTCATTGCACTTGTCCAGCAATTCTTCAAACCCCTCCACCGCTTCCCGCTCCTTAGCCTCCGCCTGTTTCACCTTCGCCTCCACCCAACTCAATTTTCTCGTCCTCTCTCCAATGCGCCTCTCGATGAAATCACACTCCCCCTCCTTCTCCCACACGAAACCCTCCACCTCCGTCAACCGCCGCTCCTGAACAGCAACCTCTTCGCTGTGATCTTGAATCAACGACTGGAGCGACAGCAACTGGTCCTTCCTCGCTTCGATCAACTTCTGAAGCACTAGCAATTCGTTGGATTTCGCCTCCATCTCCGAGCGGAAATTCGACTCTCTGGCATCCAAATCCTCCTCGCGGCCTCGGACTTCCTCCTCGCGGTGCTCGAGTTCCCGGAACCGGGCCTCGACGGAGCGGCGCGTGGACTCCAAGTGGTCCTCGAGGTCCTTCCACTGCACGGAAAAGAAGGTCAGGGACTTGGCTTGGGCCTGAACGCAGTCGTACGCCTGGCGCAGAGTCTTCTGCTTCAACTCCGATTCTTTCACTTCGAATTCTAGCTTCTCCATCGTCTCTTCTGCCGCCGCGGCCGCTTCTGCATAAACCGTACTAAAACCGGCGTCGTTGCGGTGAGGAACCGCCTGATCAAAATCCCTAGAGTTAGTGGGAAGAGTAGAGCGATAGTCAAGCGCAGCGAACTGCAGTCTCGTTTCGGCAAGGAAATAGAGTACGGTGTGGAATTCCGTGTGTTTCCATTAATTTTTTTTGTTTTGATTTGTAATTAATTTCAACCGCATACGTTACCACAATAATTTATACTCGAAGAGGACTGGGATACTTGGAAAGCAAGTAAAAGTTTAGAACTTTAAATTGTGTTTGAATTTTTACGGAAGCTAAATGCTATTCATACCATATTTTTGTACCACATTTCTATACCATCTTAGGTCGCATCTGATGTAAACAGCCACATAATTTGAAAAATTTGTGAAACCCAAGTAAATGAAGGAGAAAGACTTCTCGTATACACAATTATCATTTAATTAACTAGTTTTTCTTAATTATTAGTTTATTAAATAATGAAATAAATTTAAAAATCTATTTAATTCAAATGATGTGTCTGTCGACATCAAATGCCACCAAAGATAATATAAAAGTGTGATACAAAAACATCGTATGAATATCATTGCTCTTTAGTATAGTTACGAACTTTTTAAACGGATTATTTAATTTGAAGGCTAAAAATATGTTACCGTTTGCTTTAAGTGATTCAGCGTTTAAAATATGTGTATTTTTCGGCGACTCGATATTAAATTTGTAAAAATATTGATATCGATATCGATTGTTTTAGATAAAAATATAGAAATTGCTTAAAAATATGGAATTTAAAATAAAATCTTAAGAAATGAAACAAGGCAGTTTGTCGATATTTAACTAATATATCGAAAATATAAAAAAGATTTGTTAATTTTATATAAAATTAAAGAATTTATTCGACATGAGAAGAAATTTAAACTGACCCTTTTTATATCTCATGTAATTTTTTCGATACTCTCACAAAAATATTTAACAGTATCGAAAAAATTTAAACACAGGGTAAACGCTTGTACTACATCAAGGGTTAATCTGCAGGTAGTAATTATGTGATTTTGTGAAAAACAATCATGGGCCAGGTGTAGGTGATATCGTTCTTCCACGTGGGTATTGTTTGGGTAGAAAGCTTTAACATGCATTGGGCACAGGTGGAGATGGAAAAAGCGTCTGGATATGCATGGAGGTGGACCAGGTGGAAAATGTGCATAGGTGGTGGGTTCCTGCTGACTATTGTAGTCTATGAACTGGAGGTGTCCAGGCTATTATATAGAGATGGTGGATTAAGGGCGGATATAAGAATTTGTTCCTATTAATCTTTATTAAGGGTAGAAATATATATTTGTCTCAATTAACTGTAACAGAGGTAGAACAATAAGTGTTCTAATTAATGTTACTACTTTTAGGGGCGAAAAAAAAATCAACATCTACGAAATTTAGTTATTAAAGGCGGATAAATGAGCCTCTAATATATACTTATTCTTTTTTTTTTTTTTAAATTTAATAGTTTACATTAAGAGCATTTATCTTCTTAACTTTTTTCTTAATTATTAATCAAATAAATATGACAGTTATCATAACCCTAATTCTAGGATAACCAACACGCATATTCCTCATATTTCTCTTGATCTTCTTTCACGGCACAAACTCCCCATCTCCATTTTTCTTGTTGCTTCATATTCTTCTCCTCATCTCCATTTTCATAGCTCTCTATTTTTCTTGTTTCTTTATAGGGAACTTTAACGAAAAATTCACAGTACGGTTCACTTTAACGAAAAACTACATTTTTATACTAAAAAGTCAATCATGGTAATATTCACTTTACCCTTTATTTGTCATTTTCGTTAAAACTTAAAGTTTTCAAACCATTTTTGTTAGTTTTCCTTTCTTCATATTCTTCTTCTCATCTTCATTTTTCTTGTTCCTTTATATTCTCCATTTGTATTGTTCCTTCGTATTTTTATCCTTCTTCTTCACTTTTTTATTTCGGATGTGATATTGTTTTCTCTTCATCTCTATTTTTTTTAATTTTCTACCTTTCAATATTCCCTTTGACGAGTCTAAGATAACGAAATAGCAATTTAAAAAGGTTCGTAGTAGAGAAAAAAAAAACTAGCTTTATGTAGTTTGATTGAAGTTTTTTTTGTTTTTTTTTTCTCTCAAACTGTTGTTTTGCAGGTAAATTTGATGATGGGGTGTGAAAAATTTGAAGTGAAATTCATTAGGTGTGTTCTTCATACATATTTTTTCTATTTTATTTTTATATAACTAGCATTTGTCTACACATTTTGTGTGTTTTTAGAAAATGAGAAGGAGAGATGGAGAGAGAACGTGGGGGAGTGAGAGGTTTTGTTTTTGGTTTTTATTTTATTTATTTTATTTTTAATATTGGAGGTATTTTAACATCACCTGTAGGTAAGGCTTCAATAAAAAGCAGTAAATTTTGGACCTGTGAAATTACATTATTGCCCATCATTTTTTTTGTGTGATAAAGACTAAGTAGTCTTTTTACCCTCTTTTGGTTGATAAAGAGAGTTTCATTAATTAATAGAGATATTAGTGTTATCAAAATGATGAATTACATCATAAACCCCAATTGGCTTAGTTTTAGGTTTGATTTTTTTTGTCTAATTTGCAAGTTTTGTTTTCTCGATTTTTTTGTCTAATTTGAATGTTCTGCATAATCTGATTGTTTCTTTCCTGAATGTGAGTTCTACATAATCTATTCGTCTCGTCGAGAAGTATGATTTTCATTTTTGAATCACTAGATTTCGTTCAGTATTGAAGAAGTTATGAACGTTTAAAGTTTACCCATTTTCTGGGGAGTTTTCCACTTTTCCTGAGGACCAGCCACCTTTCAGGCAATTTTCCGGCCATCTCGGGCAATCATTGGGCTTCTAAATAGGTATAATCTTGTTCTACACCTATTTATCTTCATTTTGATATATTATGGGTCGAATTTGGTTAAGAATCAATTGAGTTATGAAGTTTTGAAAATTGCCCAAAGAGTTTTTAATGGAATGACCAAAATCATAGATGGTGGACAATCTCAGGAACCATTATGTATAATAACCCATTATTTTAATATTAATTTTTCTGTTAACAATTTATTTTTCTGTCAAGGTCGGTGGTGGAAAATAAAAATAATCGTAAATATATTTGACCCTAAAGTATGAGAATACAATCAAATAACTAATGGAAAGACTGAAAATCGTTTCAATTAATACAATTCCCAAAATGCAATAATAATAAATATAAATGTCATTAAATATATATAATAAAGTAGGAGCCTTAATAATCGCCCTTAATACTTTAAACATCCGCACTTAATATTGTTTGCACGTTAAACTTGTCTACATGGCAGCAAAACTATTAGGGGCGGATATAAGTGATTATTTGTTCCTATTTATAAATAGCAACGCTCTTTTAGGTGTAATTCTAATATCCACCATTTCTAACTATTTGCGTGGAAATTCTCAATTTTTTCCCCTATTTCTAATTAATAGATGCAAATGTATTGGCCTCTACTTGTTCATAGTTTTGTAGTGACCATTTCTACAATGCTTTATTTTTCTTTGAATAATATGAAATAAATAAACAAAGATGTAGCACATATGAGACTTGTGAGATTGGGAAAATCCTACCTGCATCTTTGAAGAGACATTATTTTGTACTATGGTTTAGGTATGACAATTTCTTACATAATTCGTTATCCAATATGAAACAACATGAAAATAACAGTTTTGAATCACCTTGTTAACAAGTCAGGTCGTTATTGAGTAACTCGTTAACATGTCAATAGTTACTGGTAAGCCGTTAAGAACCCAATATGATACCGTTTGCCAAATCATGGTGATTTCTTGTATGGCTCGTTATTATAAAACGACACAACCCATTAACAAATCGTGTCGTTATTAGATCACCCGGTAAGAACTCGTTATGATAACAGGTTTGACACTACATCAAGGATGAAACAAGAAATTTGTGTGTATGGGGGCATCCTCAAACAACAAAGTCACAAATAAAAAAGCTAAAGAATTTACTAAACAAAACACTTACATATTAAACCATGAGATTTTTCATAACCCATTACATTGTCCCTCGATGCGTTTTTATTTTTTGAAAACGTTGTCTGACAACTTCATTATCGCACCATCTAATCTCTCTATAAAAAAAATAACCACGTTATTATTCATCCATTGATCTCCCACTCGTTTTCTCAATCAATTTTTCAAAAATTTCATGGTTGAAAATGCTTTTCCAACTTTGGAAATAGCAAATAAATTAGTGATACACCTTGCTTATGTCACAAATATGTACATTTTTTCCCTACCAAAAAAATCGAGTGGGGGTATCTGCCCCCTTGAGCCCAAGGTGGCTCCGTCTATGCACTACACCATCTGTTAAGATAACGGATATGACACGAATGCGACAAACACGACCCGTTTATCAGACGTAATAACAAATATATCTAGAGCATGTTTATTCATAAAGAATAAGAATTAAAATAATTTTGATTCTTGAGTTTCATACTTTACTAAAATAATGTTACAAAAATAATTCATCTCTTAATTTATCATAAGTATAACACAGTGCGAGTTTTCCGTTGAAATCCTTAATCAAATACTAGAAAATCAAGACTCAGGTCGACTAGGATATTTAGTTGATCCGATCCTTTTAGATCTTCTCCTGTATCTAAGTTTTCCGTTTCTTTCATTTTCTCGCCGTTTTTTTTTTTTTTTACTTAAATATGCCTTTAGTTAAATCGACATAAACCAAACTCAAAACCCTTGTAAATACTTGCTCATAGAATCTCACAATAAATTGCAACTGTTCTCTGTTTTTTTTTACATATGTCGATATTTGTTGACATGTACGAAACATGATTTGGTTGACAATGGCAATCTTATCAAATTTTCAACAAAATGCTTAGGTGAACAAATTAATTTTTTTTTTGCGTGCTTTGCACTATGTTTTTATTTATGAGCTTAAATTTTTAACACTAATATAATAATATCATCAATGTTTGAATCCTGAATTTGCCAACGAAAACAAGCGTACGCAACACACTTCCTCGTACGGGTCTCTCACCAATTATAGACAGCAACACTGCATGCAAAGGTGATGTATTTCTTGTTGACAAAGAAAGGAATACATGAGAGTGAAAGCAAAAGAGTGAGAAAACGATATTAAAAAAATGAGTTGGGATTGTGAATATACTTTCAGTGAAGAGAGGGACATGGTATATGATGTAAAGTGAAAGAAATGTATCTGAATGGAATTGATAATTCTTACTTTTAAGTTTATGAATATCTTAGTTACTACTTTTGAAAAGAAGGCTGAGATTTTATTTTACAAAGTGTAATCAGAAGTGAAACCAATTAACATAAGGCTTGTTTGGATGTACTTTTAAAATGACTGAAAAGTGTTTTTGAAGAAAATATTCTCGGGTTCCAAATGTAAGAGTATATAACTGAATCATTAAGATTGTGCCATCTGTCAGTAATACAGTGGCTAGATTGAAGAATATGGTTGGGATATTTCAGATATAATAAGATCAAGATAGTATATAACAAAGCTTGTGTAAGAAGATTGTATTAAGCAAAAGTAATAAAGAAAAGTAGATTTCTTTCTCTCTCTAAAGTCTTCTCTCATCCTTTCTCTTCTCTCTTAAGTTTTCTTTCTTCCTGTGTTCTATGTTCTCGACCTATGTATGATATGGTTAACACCAAAAGCACTTAAAATGCTTTCTTCAAGAAGCATCAGTTATATACTTCTTTCAAGAAGCACTTTAAGTGCTTTTCTAGAATTTAATTGCATCTTTAATAACGATTGGTTCTAAAAACATTTTCATCAAAAATGCTTTCAATCATTTTAAAAGCACATCCAAATGAGCTCATAAATTGTTACTTGTCTTTTAAGATGGCCATGTATTGTGTTTCTCTTTTTCAACATGTCCCTTCATTTGGGACAACTACTTAACGCATCACACGTGCAATCACTTCCACATCGGTTATTTAAGCAACTCTCTTTGGTATCGTATTAAGATTTCAAAGAAACAGGATAATGATCTACCACTAATCACAGCCAACTTAACTACCTATTCAATTCAATATGTGTGTGGTTTAAGCCTAAATTTCTTAGTTATAAGTTGCAATTTGTTTTATAAGATGGAGGATGTGGGAGATATCTCATTATTCAACAGTTTTATTATAGTAAATGAACAGTGATAAAGACAGTCTTTAATTAGGTGGAGAGATACTCTCTTGTCACTAATTAACTATGTAGCAAGTATTTCTTAAATGAATGGTTCATTTTTTTTTATCATGGACAAATATCTATAAAAGTGATGATTATGTCTTGGTTGCAAGAGAAAGTTTCTCCTTTATGTGTATGTCTTGTGGGAATACTTGGTGAATGAGAGAACATCATGATATTAAAGAACAATAGAAAGTGAATGAACCATGAGGTATGTATTTTGTAGTATGGATTAACGAGAATAGAGCGATATGAGTGAAATCTTCATGCATTAACATTGGACAATTATTTCATAAACATGGCATGAAAATTGAAGCATATATATTAGTTCTTTTACTATTTTTTATTTTACTTTGCCAGATATGCCTCTGTAGTCTTTCTAATGCTGATGCCTTCTTTCTTCATTCATTTTTTTAGTTGCGGTAACTTCGGCCTTAGCAAGATGCAAACGGCAATGTCAAAGCAATACCAAACAAGCGAGAAAAGCCCTATATATTCTATAAGTAAAGCCTAAATGTCCTTATTAATACTAAAGCACTAATGAGTAAGAAAAGATCCCCATAGACCATCTTTAATGGTGGGCTAAATGCTAAATTTCCCCCTAAACCCAATCCAACCCAAGGGAAAACATTGGGCTAAAAGCTAAATGGGGAACTGAGGCCGGATTCCGCCCAAAATTTAGCCCAAAGGTCGGTGTGGGCCCTACTGAAGGGATTGCATTTTAGTGTTTGGGCGCCAAACACAGCCCACTAAATCGCCCAACTCGCCTAACGTGTGAGGCTTCCGACCGCCAGGGACCTACCCACGTGGGCCTATCGGCCACATTCAGCATGAGCCCAACGACTCCTTCCATCAAACGGTCGTGATCATCAGGCCATTGGTTAATCCAACAGCCTAGATTCAAAATTTTTTTGTTTGTTTTTATATTTATATATTATTGAATCCAACAGCTAAGATCGAATACAATCAAATCTAACGGTAAAAAAAAAAAAAAAAAAGATCTAACGGTCCAAATTTAAATCCAACACCTAAAATAATTAAAAAAATTATTTAACTCAAAATTCATCCAAAAACTCTATAAATAGCTATGTATTTGTTTAAACATCCACACAAAACTTAATTTTCTCCTACAATTCTTCCAATTTATCTTTCTCCATTTCTTTCAATTTCCAAATTGTTTAACATCATAAGAGAGCATATTAGAGGTCGTAATTGGACCTGTGAGGAATATGTTGTTTTATGTTTGGCATGGGTTTCTATTAGCGAAGATGGTGGTGTTTATGATCGGTAGAAGACTATTAACAAAGCATGCACTTTATGGAGGGGAAGCTTGGAAAGAGCCGTGGTTGACATGCCTAGTGGAAGGAGCGCTATAGAAATTATGAGTTTTGTTCTTGATATTTTATTTGTCATGTACATAATATTAGTTTGCAACTAATTATTTTTATGTATTTTTTGAATAGGGTGACAAAGCAATGGAATTTACAAGACAAGAGTAACACCAAAAAATCAAGTTTTTAAGTTGCAACATGCTTGGGACATCCTGAAGGATTGTCTGAGGTGTGGAACCGATGCGGTCCAACAATGGGGAAGATTATTTCAACATGAAGCCACACAGACAAATGTCGGAGATGAAGGTGTCGATGAAATTACCCCATCTCCTTCTTTTGCAAGGCCCCCGGGAAGAGATAAGTAAAAGGAAGCAAAGAGAAAAGGGAAGTCCCAAGATCCAATGAGTGGACACTTTGCTATCGGAATTGCAAAATTGAACGAAACCCATAGCGCTCGTCAAGAAGAAATGACCCGAATGCGTTTGCAAATGAAAGAAATCTCAGATAGGGAACAAGAGAGGTTTGAAGTTAATTTGATGATGGAGGACCCAAGCATATACACCCAGAGATGAAGAAGTTCTTACGTGGTAAGCAAAAGGAAATTTTGCGAAAGTCTACCTCAAGGAATATGTTTCAAGATGATGAATCCTCTGAACCCTATATCCCAATTCAATCACGAAGTCCATCACCAAGTGAAGATGGTGGATATGATTATTAAGTTTATGTAGTGTATGAATTATGTGCTTTATTAATTAAGTTTATTAATTGTTGTTTGTATTAAGTTTATGTAGTTTATTAATTATGTGGTTTATGAATTATCGGTTGTATTAAGTTGAAGGCTTGCTTTGTGAAAAATTTAGTGATTTTTCAATATTTATCGGAATTTAAATATTTTTAGATTAAAATGTTCATAAAATTAATTTACGATAGTCTACATATTTATTTATTTATTTTTAAATTTAATTTAAGAAAAAAAAAGCCTAAGTTTATTCTTTAATAATCCCGGGCTAAAATTTTAGGCCAAAAGGGTTAAAGCAAAAAAACTATTTCTAGGTTAAAATCTAAATTTTCTGAGCTAAAAAATTTAGCTTTTAGCCTAACCATTGAAGTTAATCTTACTATAGATAAGCTACGACGCCTTTATATTATAATAGAAGTTGCTTATTTCTCAAAGTCAAGTTTCTCGTTTGTTGGTTTAGAAAGATTACAGGGACACACATATTTTCGTTCCTTCTCGCCCTGTAAGTCTGGCTTTGGCGACTTCCATATTTTTTATAGTGATGTATGTAATATCTTAACTATTTTATTCAATTAAAGGTATTTGTAGAGTTTAATGAAAATTTTAACTATAATGTCTTCTTCCCTAATATAATAGATAATGTACCCATATTCTCTTCGGATCTAAAAAAATTGAGCCTAAGGATCAAATGATCAGGACCGTTAAAATTTGATCCAACGGCTACAAACATGGAGCCCCTCTAAAAATTATAATAATTGTAGCAGTTAGATTACATTTCAACGGTTCGGATCATTTAATCATTAAATTCAGTTTTTTAAGATTTGGAGAGGATTTGGGTTCATAGATAGTCACGGTTTGGATTAAGAAATCTTTGACTTCGAAGGATGACAAGTGGTTACCATGTAACCTCACTCCACGCACGAATGTGGCCAATGGCCCTCTTCTACATTGAGTCATCGGATATGGCCCGATCCAAAAAAGAAAAAGAAAAATGAGATCGTGTTGTGTAATTTTTCTGCATCGTCGTCACAATGTCACCTTCTGTTCGGATTACTTTTACTACATAATATGTGTATCTATTAAGTAATAATAAACTCTAAATTATTATAAATTAACTTCGTTGTCTACCCATATTATAGCATATCACACGTTATCATATGCATGCAACTATTTATAATCACCCCTTTTAGGAGTTGAAATTAAAACATTACCAATCCATATACTTATTATCATGCTTTATATAAAATTTAAATATAAGTGATCATACATTTTTGTCATAGGTTACCAAAAGAACATTTCAGACTTCTTTAAGGGTGGTGGTGTTCATAAACCCTTTGTACCTTCTCACACTCTTTTTTATTTCCAGTCATCAATTTGAATAAATTAAATGAAAAGAACATACATGATTAAACATTCATAAGCGGTTAAAAATGAGTATTTACCTTTTTTTTTATTTTATTTACTTTGAGGCATAAGCTTGAAAGAAAAAAAATGAGTATAGAAGAATATTAGCAAGGCACTATATCCATAATTAGCAATCAACGATGGAAGAAAAAAAAAGATATTGCTTAAAAAGAGACTAGATCCAAATTCATAATTCTTAAGGTAAATATATTATTATATCAGATAAACATGCAAAGTAGGTAGCACACACTGCTGAATTAGACTAAACCCAGCTAACTGCCAAAATCCCCCACCAAAATTCTCATCATTCATTACTTTTCGGCATTAAAACCTTCAACCTTTAATTTTATTTCCTTCCCTTCTCCCACTCTCACTCTCCCTCTCCAACCCCAAAGTCCAATATCAAACCCAGAAAATGCCTCCAAATCTCCGCACACTCCTCTTCCTCTTGGCGACCACGGCCTCCACCTGCGGAGCCATAGGCGTGAACTGGGGCACGACGGCGTCGCACCCACTACCGCCGACCAAGGTGGTGGAGCTGCTGACGTCCAACAATGTCACCAAGGTCAAGCTGTTCGACGCGGACCCAGGCGTCCTCGAAGCGCTTTCTGGGTCCAAACTTAGCGTCACTGTGGGCATTCCCAATGCGTTGCTTAAAGTTCTCAACTCGTCCAAGAAGGCTGCCGAGAGTTGGGTCCATGACAATGTCACTCGCTACTTCTCCAATAGCGGCGGCGGCGGTGTTAAAATTGAGTGAGTTTTCGTCTTTCCTTTTGGTTTTTACCCTGATGGGGGTTTTAATTTGATGCTGCATTTGGATTTTTGGGGCTTAAATACTTGATTTACTGTGGATGAAATTTGATTGTTAGAAATAACCAATTGCTGAATTGTATTGAATCTGTGTTAAACATTAGAAAGAATGTACCTTGTTGCTGATTTGCGTAGATTTAAGTGACATTGTAGGCTTCATGTTGCGATTCTGAGGCAACGTAGGAGTTAGAGAATCGTATTTACGATCAAGGTTGCGTTGCGCGTGAAGTGGGGACTTTTGTGCAATTATCCTTAGTTTAATGTCTATGAAAAGAACCTCAAACGAAAGGAGATCATATCGGAATGTTGGTCACTATGTTTTGCAGAGTAGATGCTTAAACATCACGTCAAGGTTAATCTTTGATGTTGAATGAGCCGGCATAGGGACTTAAAGATAGATTGTGGTTTTCATGGTTGAAGAATGAAAGAAAATAGTTGGTAATGGTATTTGTGTTCCGGTGCTAGTGGGTTCAAGCGCTGCATTCTTAGCATTCGATTGGTGTTTGATTTTTGGCAAATAAACCAATAAAACAATAAACTTTTTATGAGATGAGCTATGCCTAGAACAAGAAGAAACTCTCCTCTGTGTATTGAACTTTAGAGAGGAGCCTGTTTGCCCTTCACTGTGCCAGTATCGGTGATCTCTCTATGGGCTTAATTGCATTAGGACCAGTCGAAAAGAGCAAAATTTTGTAGTGGGTCTTTTTTGTTTGCAGAAGAAGAAATCTTTGCAGGATAATGGTAGATGTTCTCTCTTCCCTTTTAGGTTTAGTCAGCCGTGCTAGGACAAGTTGACAGATAAATTTTTGTAGCAGGGATTTCTCGGTTCATGAACTCATTAGCCTCTTAGAGTAACTACTGAATATTTGTTTGTTGATCCCATCAGATATCGACTGGACTTTGCTCATTCACAAATCAAGGTATGGCTGTTTCGTATTGTATATACTGGTTTCTAACTAGTCTTTTTTCAGGTATGTTGCTGTTGGAGATGAGCCATCGCTCCAGAGTTATGGTGAGCAATTTCACCCATTCGTCATAGGAGCGGCAATGAATATTCACGCAGCTTTGGCCAAAGCAAAGTTGGAGAGCAATGTGAAAGTGGTCGTGCCTTGTAGTTTTGATTCCTTCCTATCAGAGTCTGGCCATCCTTCAAAAGGACACTTTCGGGCAGACCTCAATAGAACCATGATTGAACTGCTCATGTTTCTCAGCAAGCACAATTCACCATTCTTTGCAACCATTTCCCCTTTCATAAGCCTCCGCCAAAACAAAAACATTTCCCTCGACTTCACTCTATTTAAAGAGAATGCAAAACCTCATAATGACAGCAGCAGAACATACAAAAACAGCTTCGACTTGATCTATGACACCTTGGTTACAGCTTTGTCAACAGTAGGATTCCCTAAGATGGAAATTGTTGTGTCACAGATTGGTTGGCCTACAGATGGAGCGGTAGACGCAACCTCTTCCACTGCAGAGACCTTCATGAAAGGCCTGATGGCACACCTTCGTAGCAAATCAGGAACCCCACTCAGGCCTCATAATCCTCCAGTCGAAACATACATTTTTAGCCTCTTAGACGAGGACCAAAGAAGCATAAGCACGGGAAATTTCGAGCAACATTGGGGTGTGTTCACTTTTGATGGTCAAGCCAAGTACCATTTTGATTTCATTCTAGGTTCGAAAAATCTGGTGGACGCTCAAAACGTTGAGTACCTTCCTGCCAAGTGGTGTGTGGTGAACAATAATAGGGACTTATCTAATGCAACTGCTAGTGCTTTAGAGGCATGTTTGCATGCTGATTGCAGTGCAATGTCTCCTGGTGGGTCTTGCTCCAATATCAGTTGGCCGGGTAACATATCATATGCATTTAACAGCTACTATCAGCAGCATAATCAGAGTGCAGACAGCTGTGAATTTGGCGGCTTGGGTTTGATCACAACCGTTGATCCATCTGTGGATAATTGTAAGTTTTCGGTTCAACTACGCACCTCTCTTTCAGGTTCTCTCCATCCGGCCTACCTTCCTCTGTGGATGACCTTGCTAGTACCAACCTTTTTGTTATCCTTACCCAGATTTACGTAGAAGATAGATTTCGAGGAAAGTTTTGTAGAAAATAGATACCCGAGGAAATTTTTCGCCGCTGTATGATCAGTCTGCTGATCGATTGTTGCTGGTGTTTGTTGTTGTAACTTATATTAGGTTTGAACACTTGTTGAAGTTATTGCTCTACAAAAGTTCAATGGCAAAAGAAGGGTTTGGAAATTCTCTAAATTTGTTTCTTGTTAGTCTGCCGAGTGGGTGTGCGCATTTCAATTTCCCTACTAGTAAGAAATAAGATGAGTTGTATGTGTGGATTAAGGTCTGTTGGCGGTGGAGTTATCATGGGCCGATTTGTAATCCAGTGAGATATAGGAAAATTAATGAATATTGATGATATTTATTGATTCGTTGCGCAAAATTTGCCGGAATCCATTGTAAATTTCGAAATTTTGAAATTTTTTTTTTTGAGAAGTTTTTCTCTAATTTTGATTAAATCTGAATGTGTTGATTTACTCACCTCATTGTAAATTTTCATAATTTCCGTTGAAAACAACCAATATCGATATTTCCATAAATTTCCAAATCGACATTTCCACGTGTATCGATGCTTCCTCTTACTTGTTTTAAAAAAAATAAAAAATAAAAAATAAAATTGTCACGGTCCTAGAGGCCCAAAGAAAGGAATCCGGACTCAAAGGGGTTTTGGGATTGGGCTTAGACATAGTTAATTAACACGTGTGGGAGTCAAAATCGGCAAGACAAAAATCTGGTGATGACTTTACCCACGCCTATATAAGCAAGAAGCTCTCGCGTGGGAATATATGTCTTATCCGAGTCTTAACCTAATCGCTGTGTCTCGGAATCTCTCTCGGACCTAGATCATGGCTGGAATGTACGGTCAAGATGGCGATGGCGCCCCTCCTCCATACGGATCTAGCGGCGGCGGTGGCTATGGTGGCTCTGGCGGGTACGGAGGCGGTTCTGGTGGTTATGGAGGTGGTGGTGGCGGTGGAGGCTATGGTGGAAGCGGCGGTGGTGGCTATGGAGGTAAGGGCAGCGATGGTTATGGAGGCGGTGGCGGACGTGGCGGTCGAGGTAAATTTTATTACTTTGTTCCTTCGAGTTTATAATTGTTTTAAATTCTTTAATTTTGATTTGACGGATTTGGTTTTGACTGTAGGTGGAGGATATCAAGGAGATCGCGGTGGTGGCGGCAGAGGTGGTGACCGCGGCGGCGGCGGCGGTAGAGGCGGCCGCGGTGGCAGTGGAAGAGATGGCGATTGGCTGTGCCCTAATCCAGGGTAAACCCTTTTTCTTTTTGTGTCTCTTCTTTCTATTTTATCTTGATCGGTTCTGTTATTTATTTTGTATCTGTAATTTTTACTGGGTTTTAGAATTCTCTTCTTAACATTAAAAGTAATAGCTTTATGCCGAAATTTATTTTCTTTGTTTATTTTCCTTATTGCATATGTATATGTGGTTTATGAATCGGTATGATTGTATATAGCTGTGGGAATTTGAACTTTGCAAGAAGAGTTGAGTGTAACAAGTGTGGCACTCCCTCTCCTTCGGGTGCCGCCGGTGGTGATCGTGGCAGTGGTGGTGGAGGCAATTATAACAGAGGAGGAACTAGTGGTGGTAACCGTGGTGGTAGGGGTGGTAACTATGATGGGGGTCGAAGTGGTAACTATGATGGTGGTCGAAGTGGTAACTATGAAGGAGGTAAAGGTAGCAGTTATGACGGAGGTAGAGGCGGTAGTTATGAAAGTAGAGGCGGAGGTGGTAGTAGGGGTGGTTCTTATGGTGGTAGCCAAGGAAGAGATGATGGGGGTTACGGTCAGGTTCCTCCAAATGCACCACCGTCCTATGGTACAGCTGGAGGCAATTACCCATCTTACAATGCTAGTTATGGAACAGATGCTGTTCCGCCTCCTACAAGTTATACTGGTGGACCTGCATCATATCCCCCATCTTACGGTGGTCCTGCAGGCGGTTATGGTGGTGATGGTCCTGGTGATGCAAGGGGTGGTGCCCGAGGGGGCCCTCCTGCTAAATATGATGGTGGATACGGTGCTAGTGGTCGTGGTGGATATGGAAGTGCTGCTACGGAAGCCCCAGCTAAGGTGAAGCAGTGCGACCAGAATTGTGATGATACTTGTGACAATGCTAGAATCTACATATCGAACTTGCCACCAGATGTTACTGTTGACGAACTTCAGCAGCTCTTTGGAGGCATTGGACAAGTAAATCCATACCTACTTCTGAACTTAGTGCATCCGAGTTTTTAAGATTGAATTTTGATTGCTGGTTTTCTAGTTTGAGTATATGTATGGAATATTGGAACTTCATTTTTCATTTGTAGGAACAAGTTAAATTGCCTTGTCAGTTCCACAAATTGGTGTATGTTTATGCGGTTACTTTATGCTAAGTTAATTTTTTCAGGTGGGAAGAATCAAACAGAAACGTGGCTATAAGGATCAATGGCCATATAATATCAAAATATACACAGATGAGTCTGGAAAAAACAAGGGCGACGCATGTTTAGCCTATGAAGATCCCTCTGCTGCACATTCAGCTGGTGGATTTTACAATGGTAACTCTTTTACTTTTATTCTGCATGATAAGATGATGTTAAAATCGTATTCTAACTTGGTACTGTGCTTACAGATTATGAGTTAAGGGGCTATAAGATCAGTGTTGCGATGGCGGAGAGGTCGGCTCCAAGGCCTTCATTTGAACAAGGGTATTTATCTATCTATCTATATATCTATCAACTTTTTTATAATTTGAGTGGAAGTTGAAAAGAACCCTTTTCCTTGTTGTTCATTTGCTATCTTGCTTCCTCACATTGAGTCACAGTGTGAGCAAAAGTGAGCAAGTCTGGATATGTACCCTGATGTTTAATATTTGCTTGTGGTTTTTATATTTTGTTCTTTTTCTTGATGTCACAATCACCAAAGTCATTGAGTAATTCAGTCGTGGTATTCTGTTAATGGGTGCTATCCTGGATTTCCGATGTGGTTTATGAAGTTCTTTTGCGTGAATGAGTTTCTGTTTTGCGTACATAATTTTCTTCTTTTGGCTGCATACCGAGTCCTGACTTACTTTTTCTTATGCAAGCAGTGGTGGTGGTGGTGGTGGTGGTAGAGGTGGATATGGAGGCGGTGACAGGCGCAACAACTATAGAGACGGTGGAGCGGATAGACATCAGCATGGTGGAAACCGTTCACGTCCTTACTGAGAGAAGTTCCAGATGAGGCAGATTTTATGTAATGAGAATTGTTGTCTGAGGGTTTTTGTAGTATTCCGTTGGAGGGTTCTTAAACGGGAGACTAAGAGGTAGGTTGTTCACTAACCCTGAGCAAGTCCTCTGTCCTCCTATATTCAACTTCACCTACAACTACCTGTAGGAGTTTCAGTTATAGGCATGGGATTGATTTTAGTTGTGTGAATGTTTTATAGAGACAAGTGGATAATCTCCAAATTGCTTGCTGCTATGCTAGGTTGATATTTTCAGGTGAGTGCTGCTCTCTCATAACCATTATTAACACTTATTTGGAGATTTCCCCGATTTGCATAACCGGGATCTTGCTTGCATCTTATCATTTTAAATCTATGGCTCATATGCGAGCACTGATATCTATAACATGCATTTCTGACTGAAAATTTGTGATCCATATAAGAAATCACTGAAGATGGTTCATGTGGCTGGGATTTTGTATTGGAAAGTACTCGATGTTAGATGTGAATCCCGACCATTGGATTGGATTTTGCTCGACTTTAGCTCCAGCTGAACTTATTTAAATTGCTAGTTACATGGAATAGGTTTCCATATAGGATTTTGTTATTTTGTTTAGACATTTGTTATCATGTTTGGTGGAGGCTCTTTTCCTACATCGAGGCTTGCGCTTTGCGATAGTTTTACTTCACCACATCAATCTAGGGTTTAAGACCTACTATTGTTTGGTAAAATGGGCATGGTGCCTAAAATTTTGCCCACCTGCTGCCTTCATTGTTCTGCTACTTACTGGGTGGGGCAAGTCTTCCTTGTGGTGACCGCAAAGGACTTGTGGATGACGAGAATCTCTGCGTAGCACCGACCTTCAATTGTTGTATCCTCTCATGTGTTGCTGATGGGTGCCTACTTTCATGTGGCTTTCTTTCTTGGGCAGTTAGCTGGCAGCGGTTGGAACTTCAAATGTTGAGCAACAGTTGTCTTCTTGGCATGTGCCTTGTGGCAAGATGGAGGGTTTTCTTTCAGGTTTTAGGTTAGGGAATGATGAGAGTAGACCCTAGAAATCACTTTCCGGTGCGAGTTTAAATCGTTGTATTACATCCCAAACATTTAGCAAATTTGAATGAAACATTCTTTTCCTCGATTTGTTCTGTTTTTTCCTGTCTTAAGTGACGATTTGCTATTTGTTTGTAAATTGATGTGCTAAACGTTGGGCACGTACCTGCCCGTTTCTGTATGACTTGTAATGTTGAATAGCAAAGATACAAATTCTTCTTGTTCCATTTCAGACGGTATTTCTCACACAAACAAATCAAAGTTTCGGAAGCTAAATTATCCCACCCTCCCACGCCCCGCTCGTTGCCATTGGCTGCAATGTGCACATTGTGTTTTAAATCTCTTTGAGCACCTCAATCGGGGCTACAGCGTTGCACGTTGTTACGAGTATCGTTTTCGCTCGTGACATGTTGCGTTTATTAACACAAGAAATGAAAAATTAAGTAGCTCCAGCATGGAAATTAGGTATGCCATACCTAATAAACCAGCTGTTGGATCGCCAAGCGAGTAGGTTATTCAGCTCACACTTGAACAATCAAATTTCATTCCACATCATTGCCATTCATGACATTTCCCATTCCCGTTATGTTAAACATGCCTAGAATTTCTGAATCCCCAAAAAAATGGCTTAAAAGTCCTGAAAAATTTCCTACCTGAAAACAAGTTACTGTGAAAACCGAGTAGCAAGTCCATTAGTTACCGAAAACAATTGAAGCAAGTTACGCGATAAATAGATAGCAATGGAAAAGGATCTGGCGAGGATCCTTTTCTTGGGGATCCGAGAAATCCCGTGATCGTGTCTGTTCATCGTATATAATGCGGTCAAAAATAATTTGAAATTTAAAATTTAAAATGAATATAAATAGTACCTAACAAAAACTCACCGTAAGATATGCGATGAACGGATACAATCACGGGATCCTCCGGATCCCCAGGAAAAGGATCCACGGATCCTTTTCCGATAGCAATAGCAGCTTCTTGCAACATTGATCGTAACTTTTGTCGATGCAACCGTAGCCCTTTTCCCTGTGCAGAGTGTTCATTTACTGCTCGTTTCCGTGTATTGTACTAATATTCTCCTCGTGGTAAATGAGAAGTTTCTTTGCGGTAGCATGAAAAATACGAGGCAAAAAATGCCTGAAGGCACTAAATCAGCTGTGCTTAACTGCTTATCACATCTTTGCCATGTTGTTCGTCCGAATGGCTGCCAAAACCTTTTCATTTATATTTATATTTCTGAACCCATACAATCATCGGAACTGTTTTTATGGTCGGCTTAATTACCTGCTGGAGACTTGTATCTCATATCCTGCGGTTGCTGCATGTCATAAGAAGCATGTGGCATTGGTGCAGAACCATATGGACTGGCAGCGTCGGCAGCACCTGGGGCCTGAAATCCAGAGGAGGTTCATTCGGATGAAAAAGGTATAAATAGAAATCCGAAACTAAGTTGTTTGGCGAAGTATCTGATATAAATTCAATAAAGCACATATATTGTAACATTTGTCTACAAAGACAAAAAGAATTGTTGTCTTCCAAATGCTCCATATCGAAACTCTGAATTTCCACAGAAACAAGGGACCTTCCAAATTCTAATGACTCTAAAGTAACCGTTTACCACATATTAGGTCTCTCAATAGAAACAAGGGCTTAAGTTTGCAATCTTTGATCATGATAGAACACTTCTCATGCTCACGTTATTATTTGTACCGACACCATAACTTCTCAGACAAACAAATTCTTGCACGTCTTTTCAATGGCTTCAATCTACGGAGTAGTAACAAACATAACACCAAAGCATCAAGAAGGCAAGGGCGTACACATACCTGATGCATGCCGGCATAGGGATCAGGGTACACATTTCCCCCGTATAACATTTCAGCATTGCCATAGGCTGCAGGGTACCCAGGACCTTCATAAACACAACCAGAAATTTCATCAAGCACTTTACATTGCATTTGGTTTCTGAATTCAAACCGAGAAACATAGAATAAATTGAATCTTAAATACGGGAGACAAGTCGAACGCGAATGAATTGACCTGGATTTGCTGCTGCAGCTACTGCAGCCCTTGCTCTCTTCTCTGCATTGGCCAACTCCCCATGAAGCTTATCCATTTCACGAGCCAATGCCGCCATTGTTTTCTCCATCCCCTGCCTGTACTCAAGGTTGCTAGCTCTAGTTTTCTTCTCATTCTCAATTGCATCCCTATATTTGCATTCAAATCATAGAAAAGATTGAATCTTTACATCCAATACTTCACAATTCACACAAAATCCTCTCCTAAAACCGAAAGATCAACCTCGAAATTTCGACACACTTCACTATCTGAAATTCAATACCCAAATTTGACAATTCACACAAACACAATGCATATGAAAAGTTTGTTCAAAATTACCTTCCTTTCTTAATCTCCTGCTTGAAGGTCTCGATATCGGCTTTAATGTCCGCCACTTTGTTCGCCTCGGACTGAGTCCTCGCAAGCTCGCCATCGATCGTGTTCAACTCCTCCGCAAGCTCCTGCCGGGACGAGCCGAGCTCCTGTATATCGGCTCGGGTCCGAGCCAGGTCTGCGCCCATGGAGTCGATGGCGCGAACCTCGGCGTCCAGCTTCAATGCCCTCTCGTAGACCTCGCGCACCTCGGCGTCCCTCTCGGACTTGGCTTTACCGGCGACGACGGATAGGTGGCGGAGGTCGTGCTGGGCCGCGGCGAGGTCCTGCTTGAGCGCGACGTGGGCGGCTGCCAGCCGTTGATTGTCGACGAGGAGGGACTGGATCTCACGGTTCTGGAGGGCGATACGGTCCTCCAGCGCCGTCGTATTGACCGATAGTGGCGTCAGCCGGACGAGCTGTCGAGGATGTTCCCGTCCCGCCATATCTTTTGATTAACAATTACTCGGCTCGACGGCGACTCTGACCGAGAGAGAGAGATTTTGCCTCGTTGCTTTCTGTGCCTTGATTGGGTTATAAAACGCAGGCCCAGGCCTGCCCATTGTGCCCATCTCATTTTTTTAGGAGTAGGATTCTTTGCACTTTAGATCTTCTTCCATTCCCTCCCCTCCTTTCACACTTAACAACTTTTGAAGTGCAAAATGAGAGTGTTGGAGTGTCAATAACAATTTTCTTTTTAACGATGGAGTAAAAAACTCTTAAGCTTACCTTCTTCAGGTTTTGACTTTCAATTTGCCCATTTCCCCTTATCATAAAATTTGTCTATTTTTCCGTCAAATTGAAATTTATTTTCTTTGTCAATACAAATAATATTTCTAATGGTTATAAATCCAACTCAAATTGAAATTCAGAGAACCGTTTTGCCGCCAAATGTCAGAGCTCTTTCGCTCACTCGTCTTGAACTCAAGGTCCATTTCCGCTTCTTCTCCGATCTTCCATCCATATCCCTCTGGCATTGAAAATATTTAGTAGGTTCGATGACACGACACTACGAGTATTGGAGTCGGCATTGGTTTCAAAGGACGTAAAGTCATCAATGGAAGTCAGGTCAGGCTTCAGGCAGTTCATGAGGTCCGAATATCGCTCTCCGATCCGCAGAAATTGCAGAGAACAATGTGGAGGAGAAGCTTCTGGTTCTTGAGTTTCTCGTTCTTGCTTTCTCACTAGTAGGCGATATTGAGGCAAATCTTCTCAAAATTCAAATCCTCCCATATTTATGGAATTAATTATGTCATAAGCCAAATCGCTAGGGTTCCTTGGAATTTGGTAACTAATTAACTGCTATGTGCTTGTGGATCGGTTTGTGATTGCAGAGTTGTTTGGCTTTGAGATATGAGGCTTTGCTTTTGCGGGAAGTCAAATCTTCGAAGAATCCGTGGCTACAAGTTTCTTATACAGAATGGCTGGATTTTGCTCACCGGTCAAGGGATAGTGGTTTCTATTCAGTGGCAGGAAAGGTGAGTGTGATCATCACCTTCATCACTATCACTACTTTCATCAACGTTCGTAATTTCTTAGCTTACTCGCATTCGGGGAAGCTGTGCATTAAATGAAGTAAGAAGTTATTTGATTATATTTATCAGATTACGATTGATTTAGTAACCAATAGCCATGTCTATGATCAACTGCTTGATAACGAAATCTGTGGTCGATACCCCAAGTTATCAGTTTTCCATGACCATATAATGGTAGACTAGCAATTGCAACGCTATAAAACATAATTCAGTTAACAACGCATGAGGTTTCTTATTAATTTTTTTGTTATTGTTTCTCTTGATTGCTAACGATTCCTAAAATGTGTGGTACAAGTGCAATAAATCGTTTGTTTAGTTCTTATACAAGCGGCATATTTAGTATTAGATGAAGGTGGATTAGACACTCAAATCTATAGCATTTATTATGCAACTGCTATGTGTGTTCTTCTACTCACTCTTTTTTATTCTTATTTTGGCATTCAATCTTCTTGCTAGATGCAGGCTATAAGACTTTGTGGTTCATGTTCCGATTTACGCTTTTTTCTGTAGGCATGTGAACATGCATGGGATTGTCTTAAGAGGAAATCGATTGAAAACCCGAAAACAGATGAAGTTAACCACATGACGACATCTACCAAACACCCAAAAACAGATTAAGTCTTTGAAAGTGTGCAAGTCATTGACAAGATAAAGAGACTCAGCGACTTGTTCGTGTAAATTGATAGCTGGGTATGAACTCGAAAGAAGAGATGAATGAACACTGAAAGAAAAATGATGAGAAAATGGCTGCTATTCTCTCAGCAAATCATAGAGGAATTTCATTGTTTTTCATTGATTGCATTTCTCTCTCTCTTCACACAAAGCGTGCAAGAGGTATAATACCGTTAACAATGCTTAGCTGGATCATTCCTTCTAGAAACTGATCTCAGCCACTCATCTAGCTAATAGCTAGGATCATTACACATGACACTCATGACCTTACATATTTTAGTCTTACACTTGGCAATTCTAAGCACAAGTGGATACACAATTAAGTACAAGATTATTCATTAACACTAATAAGCTCATGGCTTATAATTCAACACTCCCCTTTAAGCATTGAGTTGATTTCACACCAAGCACATCTCTGAGATAGTTGAATCGATCATTGGTTAGAGCCTTAGTCAATATGTCTGCCACCTACTCATTTGTTAGACAATACACTAAGTCAATTATCCCTCATTGCGGTGCATCCTTGATGAAATGGTACCTTCTGTTGATGTGCTTGGTTTTCTGGAGAAACATTGGATATTTAGTGATTGCGATTGCAATTGTATTGTCACAGTGCACTAGAGTTGCTTCAGTTTGTAACTTACCAAAGTCTTCAAGTATGAATCTAAGCCAAATGGCTTGTGCAGTTGCCTCAGAAGCATTGATGTATTCTGCTTCTGCAGTGGAAAAGGCTACACAATTTTGCTTCACAGTGGCCCATGAGAATACTCCACTGCCAAAGGAAAACGCATAACCAAAAGTGCTTTTGCTATCATCAACAGATCCTCCCCAATCACTGTCACAGAATCCGATTAACATTGCATTCTTTCCCTTCACATACTCCAAACCATAATCCAAAATGCCTTTGATGTATTTGAGCACCCTTTTGGTTGTTCCAAGATGTTTGTTTATAGGACAGTGCATAAATCTAGTTAGGAGACTTGCAGCATACATTATATCTGGTCGAGTAGCAGTGAGGTATAACAAGCTTCCCACAATCCTTCTATATTGTTCCTCACTTGCAGAACCACTACCACCATCCTTGCATAGTTTATCTGATGAAACAAGAGGTGCAAACAGAGATTTGCACTCACTCATGCCAAATTTACTCAACAAAGATGCATCATACTTTCTTTGATGAATAAAAATACTTGAATGAGTTTGCATGACTCCCATTCCTAGAAAGTGATGCAGGAGTCCCAAGTCTATCATTTCATATTTGATCATCCTGTCCTCCTTGAATTCTTTGAACAACTCATTGCTATTTCCAGTATATACTATGTCATCCACATAGATTGAAACAATTAGAATTTCTTCTCCTCTTGCTTTGATGTAAAGAATAGCCTCACTTTGGCATTTCAAAAATCCACTTTGAGCAAAGTAAGAATCAATTTCACTATACTAGGCCCTTGGTGCATGTTTTAGGCCATACAAAGCTTTATGAAGCTTGTACACCTTCTTTTCCCCCCTGACCAAAAACCATCTGGTTGCTTCATGTAGACCTCCTCTTCTAGTACTCCATCTAGAAAAGAAGACTTGACATCTAATTGATAGAGTTTCCAACTCTTTTGAGCAGCCAAAGCAATAAGAGTTCTCATTGTATCCAATCTAGCAACTGGGGCAAATGTCTCATTATAGTCTATTCCTGGTTTCTGAGTATATCCTTTTGCAACAAGCCTTGCCTTGTTTTTTTGCACAGTTCCATCAAGGTTGAGTTTGGTCTTAAGCACCCACTTCACACCAATTATAGGCTTGTTAGTTGGTCTGTCTACCAATTCCCATGTTGCATTCTTTTCAATCATAGACAGTTCATCTTTCATAGTCTTCATCCATGATTCATCTTGAGCTGCTTCTTTAAACTTCTCAGGTTCTATAATGCAGAGATTGCATTGTGCTAGAACATCATCCAAGCTTCTCCATTTCAGTGGAGTGTGATCAAAGGCCTGAGACTTTTTCATGCTGCTACTTATATCATATGTTGATTCATGAGAAGATGACAATCTAGGTGATTGAGTATAGTTATGACTTCCAAGAGTTGTCCTAGGTGATGTAACTTGAGACTGCTAAGATAACTCGTCATGATTAGTCACAGTCACATAAGTCTCAGTAATCTCTTTCCAATCCCAAGTTGCATTTTCATCAAATATAACATCTCTTGAGAGTAGAAGCCTCTTAATGATATGATCATACACCCTGTACCCTTTTTCACAAGTTGCATACCCTACAAATATACCCTTGGTACTTTTCATATCAAGCTTTTGCCTTAGTTCACTTGGTATATGTACATGACACAAAGAACCAAAGACTTTAAGATGAGCAACTCCTGGCTTTCTACCATTGTAGGCTTCAAATGAAGTTACATTTCCTAGAGCTTTTGCTGGGCATCTATTTATTATATAGACGGTTGTATGCACAACCTCAGCCCACAAATAGTATAGAAGATTATTGTCGTGCAACATGGCTTTTGCCATTTCAACCAGTATCCTATTCTTTCTCTCCACCAGTCCATTTTGCTGTGGAGTATAAGCCATAGAGAGTTGTCTTTGAATTTCTTCCTCCTCACAGAGTTTGTTAAACTCATAAGATGTGAATTCACCACCTTTATCACTTCTCAAACATTTCAATTTAAAACTGCTCTGTAGCTCTACCATATATTGTAATTTTCTAAAACAATTCAATGCATCTGACTTGTATCTGAGAAAATAAACCCATATCATTCTTGTGTAGTTATTTACAAGAAACATAAAGTACTTGTTACCAACAATGGACTCATTTTACATAGGCCCACATATGTCTACATGAATTAACTCTAGAGGATTGCTTGCTCTCCATGCTTGATTATTTGGGAACCACTCTCTATGTTACTTTCCAAGTTGACATCCTTCACAGACTTCATTAACCTTTTCTAAATATGGAAGTTCAGGTACCATCTCATTGTCTTTGAGTTGTCTTAGTCCCTTTAGATGCAGATAGCCTAGCCTTTTGTGCCAGGTCCATGTAAAGTGAGACAAGCTTGTTTTTAGAGAAACATGATCGTTAAGTAATAGTGCCAAAGGGTAGCATCTATTCCTCTTCATTTCTACTTTAATCACAAGACATTTCAGTGAAGGACAATAAAAAATGTTGCACATTTTACCTCCAAACAACAGGTAATACCCATGCTCATCCATGTGTCCCACACTTAGTAGGTTCTCCTTCAATCCGGGTAGATAAATTACTTCCTTGATGTATTTTCTGCCTTTACTAGTATCAATTACTAGAGTGCCCATTCCAGCTACATTCATAAGC